AGATCTCTAATTATTTGCGATTATGTATTTACACGAATTACTCACAAATTACATCACAAATCACGTGATTTGAATTGGAGAATTGCGGATTACTATGCGTAATTCAATTCAAAAATCCACAATATTGCAGATTTGAAAAAACAATTGCAGCACCATCCTTAGTATAATGTTAATGAACCATTTATTACAATGCAGTTTAAAAAACCTTTTATTTATAAAATAACAAAAATAAATAATTAATATATATAATTTGTTTTATTTTAGCATTTTTTATAAAGATCAAGTAAGATATATTGACCTTTAATTCTAAGATTTTATTAAACTACAAAATTAAAAATTCTTGAAAAAAAAAAACTGTGATTATTAAATTTAACATGACTCGAAAGTTCTAAGTATCAATCGATAAGTCAAATCAACAGAGAAATAGTTGATGCTTGAAAAAATGCAGATAATAAAGTTTGTATAAAATACGAAAAGCTTTAGTATCTCAATAAAATCTCTGATTGTAAATGTTACCAATAAAAACAGATCAATAAGATGAGAATGAAGTCCCCTGCTATTCACAATTTAATTTCTAGTCATAATAAGAACTATGACAGATATTACCTAATATCATGTTGATATAAGTGCCTACCCTCCTCTCCCAGGTAAGATATGCTGCAGAGTTACATAATATGATTTTATATATTCGATGAATTAGAGTTAATAAAGTAACCAAAAAAAGTTTACTATTTATACTTTAAGAAAAGTTTATTTATATTTCGCAAAAAGTATAGTTTATATAGCAATAAATAAAAAAAAAATCATAGTTTATTTATATAGTTTATTATAGTTGATATAGTGATAAAAAAAAAGTATTATATAGTATATAGTCTAAAATCTAACACTTAAATTTAAAAGAAGTTCATTTGTTATAAAAAAGAAGTCTATTTATTAAAAAAAAAAGTAATATCGAAAAAATTCACAATGATCCTTTTCAAAAATTTACTGCAGATTTTATTTAATATTCATGAAATTTCAACGCGCTTATTTTGTGTTTGGCATTTTACACTTACAAAATTCCCTTTTAATACTTTGTCCTAAATATTAAAATGAGCTGCTAAACATTTTTTTTAGCCATAAATTTAATAAAAAGTCAATATATAACTCACCAACTAATAAATATCAAGAGTTTACAAATGCCTATATGTATAATGTTACGATAAAAATGAGTAGCTATGCTTCAAATTGTGCTACTGTTTGTAAAAAAGCCATAAATGAGTGGAATAATATTAAGAAAAAGAGTGTCAATGATGTTGATTATATAATTCAGAATTATATGACTACACAACTTAACATCAGGGATTTTTTTTTAGTGAAAATCTGCGGTGTTATGCAGGATTTATTTTCTGTTCAGTTCTTCAACCCTGCCGCAGTACTTTAGAGAAAAAATTTTATGATTTCTGCGCAGATTTTTTTGATATTAAAATCTTTGTGAAGGTTTTATAAGAAGAACTAGTGAAATACTTAAAAATAATAAGTTCAAAATGTTCGAATTTGTATACACTTAATTTATTCGATTTACTCAAATTGTAATAATATTTATAAAATTTATTTATCTTCACAATACAATACAGAATAAAATAATAAAATATCAATTATAGCTTCAAAATATACTATACGAATACGGGAATTAATTTAGCTAAAAATGCTTAATTCCTTCGCAAAGTATCACGGCCAAGTATTTCAACAATGAAAAGACTTATTCAAATCAGTGATCTAAAAATGTAAGTTTTAGCAAATTAGTGAAGTAATTCAGAATGTAATAATGCCAACAATAATTTGCTTACCAAATTATAATAATAATCAAAATCATCTTCTTTAACAGTGATTTCAATATCTTCAAAAACTGAGAATTGTGATAATTTTTGTTTTTTCTGTCTTGTTTCTTCAATATATCTTTCTTCATCAGCTATCTCCTCCATCATCTGAAGAGTTGCTGGATATTGACTTTCAAATGCACGCTGAAAATATAACTGAATTTAGTATTTAAAAATATTTTAGAATTAAATTTCTTTTAAATTTATTACCAAAAAAGCATTAACGCGTCTTACAACAGACTTGTCATTACACTTTATCCCGGAACTCTTAAGATTCAGAAGGATGTCACAGATTGTGAGAATGTAAGTACAATGCATCATTGGGAGTTCTATTTCTTTGTACTGTTTAAATACGATGTATCCAATTTTTGTAAGTAATTCATAATTCTGAAATAGTTCATGATATGCATTCTGGGTTTTTTTGCTAATCTTTCATTCTGCAAGTCTTACTGAAGTCGTTGTATCATTAACAAAATCCTGATGCTTTTCACTGAATGTAAGAAACATAGCGTGTCAAATAGTAGATGCTAAATCATTTCGTTTGCTACGGAATTTCAATTTAAACTAAAATTAAGATGAAGTTAGAATTTTTTTTAAAAAAGATTAAATAAATTCTAAGTTTTTACTTACTTCTGGAAGTAATTTTTCCTCAAACATTGATATCCAATTGTTCTTCCAATACTGTCGATAAAATGATTTGCGTGTTTTATGAGATATTTTTCTAATGCTTTACAGTACTTAGTAATTGATGAAAATAAAATCGTTGAAAGCAATTTCTTAGTTACTTCTCTGTAAGCACACTACAGATATAATCATTATAAGTATTTTGAAGATTTAAATAAATTGCTAAATATTATTAAATAACTTACACCTCAAAAATTGTCAAAGAGCTCATCTATCGTGACAAGTTTTTGCAAAGACTTTTTTCATCTTGTTATGTATTGGCTATAAATTTACAAAGTTTGTATAATGAATTAATTTTCTCATTAATTATTTCCATTGTATAATTGAATTTCTTTTTTGTAAGATAAATTTTGGCCTTATCGTAAGAATACTTGTAATTATCTCTAGTCTACGAATAATAGTCTTCGTAAAAATCTCTGATATTATCATAATTACTAAGATTACTACGAGTTTCTTGGCTAATGTTATAGTGAAAGTTTTCACTACTTTTATCACAGTAGTCTACTGTGTTAAATTCTCTACTATTCTTATCATTAGGAGTTAAATCATTTAAATTATAAACTATTCTAGTATCAATTATATTTTCGAAGCAGCTTCTTCAGTTGTATTTGTCGAAGTAGTAGCTTTAATTGTATTTTCAAAATAATAGCTTTAGTTGTATTTTTCAAAGTAGTAACTTCGGTTGTATTTTTTGAAGAAGTTTCTTTAGTTGTATTTTCTGAAGTAGTATTAATAGATGCTAGCTCAGTTGATTTACTATGTGTTCTTTTCTGATTGCTATCAGTTAAGCTTGTCGAAATAGAATCTTCAATCATTGATCTTGTTTCTTTTTAGATAGAATTAAAAATATTACTAAATTCATCTACTGTATATATATTGACACAACTTAAAATATTACTTACTATATGTCAACATTTGAGAAAATTTGTTTTCAGTAGATCGTGAAGCTCTAAATTGTAATTGTTCTATTTCTAATGATGATTTACTTAGTGAATTCCTTTTTTGTTTTTTATTAAGAGATATGGTAGGTTAAAGAATGTTGAAGGAAAATTTCCTAATTTAGAAATCAGTATTGGAAAAAAAATAAATAAAAATAAAGAGTATTAAAAGAAAATTCTAATTTTAGATATAAGTGAAGAAAAAAATATTTTTGAAAGATAAGTTTTTTTTCAAATGTAAATTTTTAATAAATGAATTAAATCGAATTGAAAAATGAAGAAAGGAAAAAATTCCTAGTTTAAATATTGATGAAGACATACTAAAAAATACATGCTAAAAAAATTGCATAATGATTAATAAAATGATCAATTCATCGAATAAATTAAAATAAATTAAAAATATTAGTTAATATGATAACTGTATTATACAAAATTATATAAATCAAATTAATAATATTACTGCAAGTAAATCAATCACTTCGTAATCATTTACATTTATTCTAGAAAAATTTATAATTCAATTATGGTTAAATATTGTTGGAGAATTTGTAATAGAGAATTTTCGACAGGTAGTAGATTAACATAATATGTAAATGCTAAATATAATAAGAGAACGTCACTTTCTCAGAGGTCTTATACACGACTGCAAAGACAAGCACAAAGATCAGAAAATGTATCAACAAGATCAGAATACAATGAAAACTTGTGGAATATCCAATTGTAATTCTACGACCACAATCACAGTTGCAGCCACAATTACAATTGCTTTAACTTTATCTGCTTTGCCTACTTTAAAAAATCCACCTATTGCGAATAACAATATGATAGAAAATGTAATATCTGAAGATAAAGTGTAAACGAAAGTGACAGTGAACCTAGATATAATCTGCGAAGTACAACATGATGTATGCAAGAAGAAGAGAATATCAAAGAAAATACTGAGAAACCAGAAGAAGAATTAGCAGAATTACAGAAAACGAAGAAACTAACATCAATCTTGAAGATTTTTAGGAAGCAAGCTTAGATGATTCTTTGGAAACTATTAATGGAAGGAACAAACCAGAAAATATTGCAGGATGATCAAATGACGCTTATTGTGATTTCATAAAATTAATAATAGATGGTAACATTTCTAATAAGATTGGAGATAAAATAATTAAATTGTTTAATAAGTATAGTAATTTAGAAAAATCTTTGTTATCAAAATCAACTAAAAGCGGTAAAGATTACCTCAATCAAATAAATTTACTTTCATTAAACTTTAAAGAAAAGGTTATCGTGACTCACTCCAGAGTTAATTTTAAACTTTATTATTAGCCAGCTTTTCGAGCAATTTAAGCGCTAGTGCAATGACCAGAAGTGGCTGATAATTTTGTTTATAAGAGAATCCTAAAAAAGGATGATATTAGTGAAACAAGGATATTCAGAAAGCCATACAAAGGTGACTGGTGGTTAAAAACAGAGAAGACTCTTCCACCTTTAAACCACCTATTGTCTGTTGTTTTATATTCAGACGCAACAACTTTCGATAGATTTGGCAAGACTTCAGGCCATCCAGTATTTATAACTTTTGGAAATCTTCCAAATTGACTTCAAAATACTCCAGAAGCAAAAGTTCTTTTAGGATTCTTACTAAAGGTACAGGATTCTGAAATTAAAACTATTGAAACCTTCCAGAGTTTTTAATGTGAAGTTTATCAAAATGTTTCAATATTATACTTTGACCATTGTTAGAAAAACCTGATATGCTACATTTTGGAATTAAGGACGAGTGATGATGTTTACTACACGAATTTTATTTTTTCTTGCAGATATACTCGAAGCTGACAAAGTAACTGCCACATACAAGTTAGCATGTTACAAAATGCTGTGTCATACTAGTATGGTTTGTGAGATGATTTAAATAAAATGGAATTAGAGCCAGCTTCTCTTAGAATACACCAAAACATGCAGCGAATAATTGATGTTGGTGAAGAAACGACATACTGTGCATTCTATCAAAAATGCATTCTGAAGATTTCCATAAGTAATATTTAAATTATTTTGAAATAATAACAAATTAATTATATTTTTTTTACAGAAATCTAAATATTTATGAAGCTTACGTTCTTGATCGTATGTATCATATTGATCTTGGCCTCTTCAAATATCAACTGGAATTCACTCAGGAAATTTTGAAGGAGGTCAGAAGGTAGAATTGCAAAAGGATTTAATGTTCGCCTTCGTTAAATTCCACGTTTTTCTAGCTTAAAATTGATAAATAAGTTTGGTCAGCTAAAAGTAGTTACCGCCACAAATTATCGACATATAATAAAATTACTCTCTTTGCATTAAATGGTATTTTTGATGATTTGTGAAACCAATTAACTTGCAAAAAAATTTGTAACCTTTATGCAAAGTTTAGTAAAATGTATATGATGAGTAGAAAAAAATAATATAATGAAAATGAATTAAAAGTTTTCGAGGTAATTATAACTAACAATAAGTTAAAATTAACAACTAAAACTTTAAATTACTTAATAAGTTTCTAATTAAAATAGGATGCAATTATTGATTGGTGTACCAATTTTAAGAGTATATTCTATTCATTATCTATATTGAACTGCAGTTTTCCTAAACTATATAGTTGGTGTTATCATGCAAGTAAGTTCTAAACTTTATTAACTGAAAATCGCAAGACATCATTTTGTATCTTACTTTTATTATTTAGTCCCTGCAATTCATAAATACAGAGCCTTGAATGGTTTATCACCAGAAACCTATGAAACCCTTCATAAATATTATATAAAAAATTCTTACTATGCATTAAACCAGAAAGAAGTTATGCAGCAACTAATAAATGCTGTTAGTTGATAAATTTTAAATAAATTTCAATTTAAAATTATAGTAAAAATAAACTAATATTTTTCATACTGGATTTCTGCAGGTAAAATGTAAGGAATTAAATCCTGTTGCCAGAAAGATTATTTATTGAAAAACTAAAGGGTTCAGAAATGTTCTATGGGAATTACCTTTGGATACTATTGACTCAAAAGTAAAGTCTCTAAAAGAATCTGAGAATCTATCATACCAAAATTTCATTGATGGATTTTTGCAAATAATCCTAGCACTGGATACATTTCTGGATATAACTTTTCATTTAGATAAAGGTGAAGATTTTTGTATTAAAGTTTACGATGCAGTCTATTTGAAAAATGGCAAAATTTTAAGAATTACGGATAAATTCCAAGGTAAAGAATGGTTTAATGATATTATAGTTACTTCTGCAGAAGATCAAGGACAGTATATATTAGATGAAAGAGCATGGTATAAAAAAATAAGTGTAATCTTAAGATTTAGTAAAATATTTTGTTTGTGACTTTCCATCATCATATTTTAACAGACTAATATCTTTTAAGATGTTGATGCTATATAAATTCTTTTGTGGATCATTTAAAGAACCATATGAACTCGCTCTTATTCATTGGTATAAAATTGATCCAGACAAGCCTCAACTATATAATTATTTACAACTGTATTATACCAAAGAGTATAATGCAATTCCGATCAGTTCTATTAACCGAAGGATACATATTGTGTCAAGATTTAATAAGAATCAATTTTTATTAAATAAATATATGTTTTAAAATATATTAATATCATAATTCGAAAAAAAAAAATGATATTTCAAATAAACAATATTTTAAATAATTATGAAGAAAAAATCAAAGAAAAAAAAATGATAGCTCATAGAACTTCAAAAAAAAAATAAACTTAAAATAAAATAATAGTTTAAAGAACTTCGAAGAAAAAAAAATCCTTTAAAGAAAAATATTTTCGAAGAAAAAAGAAAAAAAAAACCTTAACGAAAAAAAAAATCAACTTATAATTATTAAATTACTTTTAGATTTGTCAGGAAGGTGGGAGTTTTATATAATAATTACTTTTTGTGCAAAAAAAAAGGGTTTATAGTAAAGGTCTAATTTAATATTACTACAAAACCAAAAAAGGAACTGATCTAAAAAGTTTTAAATTTAGTTAACTGAATATTAAAAAAAAGAACTCCAAAGATTGTGAAATTTTAAAATTTATTGCAGATTTCTGTAAAGTTCATAATGTTAACGTGTGATTTTGGTGAATCGCTACAGTTAAATGAGGTGTTCTAAAGTTGTTTCTTTTTAATGTACATAGTAATCTACTGATTTATTCCTAAGTTCTGGATTTATAATTGGTTTCACCCAAACGTATTTAACTGTAACTCACTAAGGCTCGTGTATTTCCACAGATTCATAATGACTGTTGTTGTCACTAAGGCCTGACTGTTACCTTAACTCACAAAGATTTATATAATTTCTTAAGTTTATAAGATCGCTCAGATATATAATGTCACTCAGACAACGATATATAATATCACGCAGATGTATAAGATAATAATAAGATAGTTTATTGATAAATAATAAGAAGGAAAATAAGAAGTAAAGAAATAAAGAAA